AAGGCCACCCCACGGGACGCCGCACGTTCATACACAACCATTCGGAATTGGTGTCTGGAAGCCTTTGCCGCAGCAAGCCTCGACCCCACCAATCTCGGCACCCACTCTTTCCGCAAGGGCGCCGCGACCGCAGCGGCCAGCCTGGGGATACCTGACAGGCTTTTCAAGCATCTAGGCCGATGGCGCAGCGACAGTGCGAAGGAGCTATACGTCACTATCGTGCAAGACCACCTTCTTGCAGCCTCTACGCAGCTTCAAGATCCATCCGCAGCCCCATCGCCCAACAACCACCAGCTGTCCATCGAGCGGCAACGCCGACCCGTCATCCACATGCCTCAGAAGACTAATATGAAATGAAGCACGCTGCCTTTCAAGAGGACCTTAGCAAGCTTTCACAATTCTAGGAAAAGTACCTATTCGCTAATGTACCTGTTCGTCACTATCGCGCTATGTGCCCTAGATGATAATGAAGAGATGCGACTATTCGCGTGACTGAAACGACTGTCCTATGACGAGCGCTATTTGCTGACGGCATCCTACGGACTTATGTTCTACAGTAGGATTCGACACTATCTACACCTAATCGACTTACAGAAATGCTAAGTATTAATTATATCACAACACTCCCCTTCATTTCTGGAAGTTCGATAGTGTCACTTCTTGAAAATCCCGCAAAGCTTGTTACAGTACTGGAACTTCTGTCGTGTCAGCTTCTTCGTGAGGAAATCGGCAGCCATTTCGTTGGTCGAACAGTAGACCAATCGCATTCTCGCCTTCTCAACTTCATCCTTGACGAAAAAGTAACGCAGAGAAATATGTTTCGTCCTGTTGACGAAACCAGGCTGATGCACAATACGAATTGCACTTTGGTTGTCGCACTGTAGGGTAAACTGGGTAGTCGTCGTCAACTTCGCTTCTTCCAATAGTTCCTGTAGGTAAAGTCCTTCGCGTGTTGCTGTGCAGACAGCGATGAACTCAGCTTCAGCAGAAGAGAGAGCAATCAATTCCTTCTTCGTCGAATTCCAAGAGATAGGCCCGATAGGTTCATCGATAGATGAACCCAGTACGAGAGCGTCGATTCGTAGTGTCAGCGGCGTGGTCGGCGTCGACGAAACCGTATAGGTATAGTGTTTCGCAACCGATGACGTTGTAGACTAAACCGACGTCAGGTGTCGATACAAAATATTGAAGCGCACGAAGAAGATTGAGTTTATGTTCTTCTTTGGGTCGGCGTAGGAACTGAGCGATCTGACTGGCCGAGTAAGCTAGATCGGGACGACAAGTGGCAGCGGCGAAGAGTAGACAGCCTAACTGCTGTTGATAGATCTGTAAACCGGTTGGACTCAACAGTGCGGTATTCGGTTTGTAATCAGTCGGTAGAGATCGGTATGGTGTAGAGACTGCAGTAGGAGTGATATTGAAGCGGGCAGCAAGAATCGCTGCGTACTTCGAAGCGGTGAGATGAATAGCCATTGGCGAACAGGTAATGTTCAGACCAAGAAACTATGAGACTGTTTCGGAGACTGTAAGCTGTAGAGTTTTTTGTAGTTTCAGTATGAAGATATCGGCAAGAGAATCGGTAGTACTGCCGCAGAGGATATCGTCGACGTAGGCGACGAGTAAAATATAGTTGCTGCCGTCAGTCAGAAGATACATTCCGTGGTCATGCGGTAGCTGACGAAACCCGGCAGTGATAAGCTGTGAGTGGAGATATTGCTGCCAGAGCCGTGGAGCCTGTTTAATGCCGTATAGCGACTTTTGGAGACGGCATACGCTCGGTAGGTTAGTAGCATAGGAATGTGGGTACTCTACCAGGATGAGTGCATCGACGGGTGCGTAGAGAAACGCATTCGACACGTCGATTTGACGAAGACGTAGATTACGGCAGGCGGCCACACAGTAAAATCCGAGCGCTTGTATGTCGACCGACAGGAGCAAAAGTTAGTTCGTAGTCGATGCCGTAAGTCTGCTCGAACCCGCGGACGACCCATCGCGCCTTGAATTTCTCAAACAACCCATATGCATTATTCTTGA